ATTTAGTTAGGTAAAAGTGAGTAGGAAGGGTATACTAAGACTGCGATGTGGAATGAGAGGCAGAGAGATTGAGCATAGGTATGAACATATTTGGGAGCATCAGTTGATATGTAGTAGAGGTGGCGCTAGTGGTAAAGAACCCACCTGCCAGTGCAGGAAACATGAAAGATGAAGTTAGATCCCTGGGTCGGGAAGATCCTCTGGAGGAGGGCATGGCGACCCACTCCAGTATTCTTTCCTGGAGAACCCCATGGACAGAGGAGCCTGCTGGGCTAGTAGCCAATAGGATCTCGAAGAGTCAGACATGACTGAAGTGACTTGGCATGCACATACAGAAGATCTACTGAAACCAGAGTCTAAAAACTACCATGATCAGTCTGTAGGAGATTAAAACTTCCCATTTACAATGAAATACATCTTGTAAGTAAGTAAATAAATGGAAGCTGGCTGTTTGGTGTTGCCAGAGGTGAAGAAAAGCTATGACAGTAAAAGCAGACCTCGAGTGTTAATCACCTGTAGCATAGTAGTTAACTTAGAATAATATTGAAATGTTTTTGTATCTGACATTCTCCACAAGCCTGTCTCCTGTGTACGCACGCAAGTATATAAATTGCTGAATTCATGTCAGTTGTAAAGTAATGGCACTGGGGGCGTCATAAATTACCATGGTGATCCTCAGGAGAAGACACGGTCGTATCTGAATGAGTGTTTCACTTCCAGAGTAATGGATGCCTTCATCTGGCCCAGCAGTCAGCATATTGCCCTGCGTTGATGGATATTGTCAGCTGGAAGCCACACTACATTTCACTGCACAATAAACATGGCTGTCAAACCCATATAAAGTGAAATCAATTTATCCTGTATGGTCAGTGCATTTTAAATGAAATTAATGTACTGTGGGTATGGTGGCAAAAAGGTAGCATATTAGTTATGCATCTTGGGATTTGAGACTTTTCATGTAAGGGATCATTCTGTCTAGTAGGCCTCAAAGAAGGGCTGTATATAAAATGTGTTATTTTGCATGGTCTTCAGAAAGGGGCCCCTCTCCCCTTCTTCATGTTTAGAAAAGAATTGATAATATTAGCCAGTTTGGCCCTTTTATCCTGTCTTTTGTTTGCAATAAATGATGACCATATTTGCCAAATAATAGTGTACTTTAATGTTCTAATTTATTACTAGCTGTGACACAAACAAATTTCTACTTAATCAGGTAGCTGGAAATAGAGTAGAAGGGCAGAGATGAATTGAATCGTATTTTACCTGTGTAATCACTCCACTGAGCTGAAAGGATTTGCTTTTTGTAAAATGTAGAGATGTAGGTTTTAATGTATATTTTGCTTCTAAACTTTTAGGAGTAGGCTTTCCTGTTTATGCAGTAGAATACCTGGCTAAGGCCATCAGTCCAACTTTACATTTAACTATAGGGGTTCTCAGTCTATAGGGAAATATTTAGTGGTTGCCACATGTAAAGCATGTACATCAGCGTGTCATGCTGGCAGGGGGTATGAAAACAAGCAAGAGCTGTGTAGATTCATTCATTCACTTGTTCATTAATTGAATGTATTTCACTAACTGAAATTTTATATGCCATGTGCTTTATTGAAACCTAGAGATACAGCCATGAAGGAGAGCCAGTTCCCACCATATCCTCAAAGGACTTTTAATCTAGTATGATATTATGGTCACTAGGTTTCCCAGGTGGCGCTAGTGGCGAAGAACCCACCTGCCAACGCAGGAGACACAGGATACGTGGGTTTGATTCCTGGGCCTGGAAGATCGCCTAGAGAAGGGCATGGCAACCTACTCCAATATTCTTGCCTAGAGAATCCTATGGACAGAGGAGCCGAGTGGCCTACAGTCCATAGGGTTGTAAAGAGTCAGACACAACTGAAGCGACTTAGCACACACTATGGTGACATCTTTGGAAACCATGACATACCAAGAATTTAGAAACAGGGATGTGTGGCTCAGCTGGTAAAGAATCTGCCTGCAGTGCGGGAGAAATTCCTGGGTTGGGAAGATCCCCTGGAGAAAAGAAAGGCTACCTACTGCAGTATTCTGGCCTGGAGAATTCCATGGACTATAGAGTCCATGGGATCGCAAAGAGTTGGACACAACTAATCGACTTTCACTTTCATAGGGATGTTAAAGAATTATCCTCATGCAGCAGAAAAATATATCAGGACCCTTGAAATGACTGCCTTTTAGTCTACTGCTTTTGTATATGAGTTGAAAACTGAACAATTTTGTCCTTGGAATTCAGGCAAGAATACTGGAGTGGGTAGCCATTCACTTCTCCAGGCAATCTTCCTGATGCAAGAACTCGACCCAGGTCTCCTGCATTGCAAGCGGATTCTTTATCATCTGAGCCTCCAAGGAAGCCAAATAAGTAGTTGGTGGTGGTAGTGTTCAGTCGCACAGTTGTTTCCAACTCTTTGCAACCCCATGAACTGCAGCATGCCAGACTTTCTTGTCCTTCACCATTTCTGGAGCTTGCTCAAACTCATGTCCATTGATCCGTGATGCCATCCAACCATCTTGTCCTCTGAAATCCCCTTCTTCTCCTGCCTTCAATTTTCCCCAGCATCAGTGTCTTTTCTAATGAGTCAGCTCTTCACATCAGGTGGCCAAAGTATTGGAGTTTTAGCTTCAGCATCAGTCTTTCCAATGAATGTTCAGGACTGATTTACTTTAGGATTGACTGGTTTGATTCCCCTGCAGTCCAAGGGACTCTCAAGAGTCTTCTCCAATACCACAGCTCAAAAGCATCAATTTTTCAGTGTTCAGCCATCTTTATGGTCCAACTCTGACATTCATACATGACTGCTGGAAAAACCGTAACTTTGACTATATGGACCTTTTTCGGCAAAGTGATGTCTCTGCTTTTTAATACTCTGTCTAAGTTTTTCATAGCTTTTCTTCCAAGGAGTAAGTGTCTTTTAATTTTATGGCTGCAGTCACCATCTGCAGTGATTTTGGAGCCCAGGAAAATAAAGTCTGTCACTGTTCCCATTATTTCTTCATCTATTTGCCATGGAATGATGGGACAGATGCCATGAACTTCATTTTTTGAATGCTGAGTTTTAAGCCAGCTTTTTCACTCTCCTCTTCCACCTTTATTAAGAAGTTCTTTAGTTCCTCTTTGCTTTCTGATGTAAGGGTGGTGTCATCTTCATATCTGAGGTTATCGATATTTCTCCTGCAATCTTGATTCCAGTTTGTGCTTCATCCAGTCCGACATTTCATATGATGTACTCTGCATATAAGTTAAATAAGCAGGGTGACAATATACAGCTTTGATGTACTCCTTTCACAATTTGGAACTAGCCTGTTATTCCATGTCCAGTTCTAACTGTTGCTTCTTGACCTGCATACAGATTTTGCTGGAGGCAGGTGAGGTGATCTGGTATTCCCATCTCTTTAAGAATTTTCCACAGTTTGTTGTGATCCACACAATCAAAGGCTTTGGCATACTCAGTAAAGCTCAAGTAGATGTTTTTCTGGAATTCTCTTACTTTTTCTATGATCCAACAGATGTTGGCAATTTGATCTCTGGTTCCTCTGCCTTTTCTAAATCTAGCTTGTACATCAGGAAGTTCTCATACTGGTGAAGCCTGGCTTGGAGAATTTTGAGCATTACTTTGCTAGCATGTGAAATATTCTTTATTGTCTGAGCCTCCAGGGAAGCCCAGTAAGTAGTTATTGAGTATCTATTGTATGAAAAATCCTGGGGCTACAAAAATGCATACAACATAAACACTAACTTTAGGGGTCTTATAAACCTGGGGATAGAATGGAAATAATTAGAGATGATCACCAAAAAAAAAGAAAAGGAATTTCTTTGGCACAGAAAAAAAAAAAAAAAGAGAGAAATGAATGCAGCCTGGGAGGCATTATTGCAAATGCTCTTCCTTTGGCCTGAATTACCCTACCCATCTGTCTTTACTGGGCAGTAAAGACTCCCCTATTCACGTGCTAATTCCTATTTGTCTTCCAAGATTCAGATTAGATGTTACCTTTAATAGGAGACGTTAGTTGACTGTCCCCTCTGCTGGTGCCCTCTTGATGTCCTGTTTACTTCAATATTAGAGCACTTACCATATATTCCATTATGACTGTCTGTTTGGGGTCTGTCTCCTCCCTGAACTGTGAGCTCCTTTAAAAGCAGGTGCTGTTTTATTCACTTTTGTATACCTAGCACTTGGCATAAAGCCAATCTCATAGTAATTGCTCAGTTAGTAGTTTAAATCAAATCATTTAATTAATTCATGAAACACACCACATTTAAATAGACCTTAAATGATGAGTGGGATTTTGCTTGAAGAAGTAAGAGAAGGAGCTTCCAGCCAGTGAGGGGAGCACTGGCCAAAGTTCAGTATTGTGAAAGAGAATTCTTTTGGGGTAAGAGATAGTTTGAAATGGCTGTGATGTTTAGCACATGAGCCTAAAATCATAGGTAAGAGCCTACTTTTGAAGGGAGAAATCACAGCAGGAAAGGTTGTGTGCATGCTAAGTCACTTCAGTCATGTCCGACTCTGAGACCCTATGGACTGTAGCCCACCAGGCTCTTCTGTCCATGGGATTCTCCAGGCAAGAATATTGGAGTGGGTTGCTGTGCCCTCCTCCAAGGAATCTTCCCAATCTAGGGATCGAACCCATGACTTATGTCTCCTGCATTGGCAGGCAGGATCCTTATCAGTAGCACCACCTGGGAAGCTGAAATAATGCTTTACTGTCAACTGTATTTGATTGTAGTAAAAATGTACTAGGTGTTTAAAAACATGCAAAAGTAATTCTGCCCAGTGTGTCTTTGAGACCTACCTCAGAAGAGCCTGTAGGACTGCCATCTGCAACTGTATCCTGCTTCCAATAGTTCATTTAAAAAGAAGTTCATTAAAAAGTTGCTAGGGAAAGCAACTGAACCAGGTGGCAAGTTGTGTTACATTATCCAGATAATAATGCTTTGCACCCGTCTTGTTCTTCCTGCCCTGACATTACAGGAAGTAAAGCAATGAATGGCTCTGCAGCTAAACTACAGCAGTATTATTGTTGGCCAACAGGAGGCGCCACCGTGGCTGAGGCACGCGTCTACAGGGATGCCCGAGGCCGGGCCAGCAGTGAGCCACACATCAAGCGGCCAATGAATGCGTTCATGGTTTGGGCAAAGGATGAGAGGAGGAAAATCCTTCAGGCCTTTCCTGACATGCATAACTCCAACATTAGCAAAATCTTAGGTGAGTGCAGCCACTGATGCTGATTATGTATCCAATGAGTGGAAAGAAGGGTCCTCATGTGACGCCTAAGGGAGACTGTCGAATGCAGATATTAGGTGTCTCAGCAAGCTGCCCCGGGAGACTGTCATTGTCTCTTCACTCTTCACCCCGCACCGCGGCATTCAGGTTTGGGAGTTAGTACATCCACCAGGTGCCAGGGCAGGACTGACTAAACACTTCTTTTAGAGACAAAACTATTTATTGTATGTGTTAATAGGACAACTCTGAGAGGTCACTGCTAATTAAGAATCATAAAGACAAGCTTTATCTCCTTTCCTTAATTTAGTCTTTTAAAATCTTTCAGCTGCTATGAAACCCTGGAAACACTCATAGAGTTTTCTGCTTTAGTGTTCTTGGGTTCATATGTCCTCCTGAAAGAACTCACCAAGGACTAAGGGTGAGCCCCCAAATAGTGTGAAATTTATGGAGTGTAGAACAGTGCCTCTAATGATAACTTTAAAACTTGTAAAATAAAACTACATTTACTTTAATAAGATATGACTAGTTCAAATTTCATAGCAGTGAGTTGAACACATAGACCACAGGGCAGAGGCCCATTCTGTGGTAACTTGCCAGAGTGATTCTCCTGTTTCTCTGGATTAAACTCAATCCTTTTTCTATTAGTGTAAATCTTGCCTCGTGCAGATTATACAGTGTGGAATTATTGTACTCAACATATTGAATGTATTTTATTCAACATGCAGCATTGCAGTCAACATGTTTCCTCTTTAAGAAGAAAAAACACAGAAGGCGCTGTTCTGTTTAAGCTGTCATGATGTGACAGAATCTCAAAGGGAACTGTTTAAGAAGCCGAAAAACATTAGAGACTTAAACTGTGGTTTTCTTGTTTTAAATGTTTTGTTCAAAAGCAATAAATATTTAACCTGAGTAAATATCAGTGATCTGGACATACACAAATACACATGTTTTGTCACTGTATAAATAATTTAACTTGATTCTGAGACATTTGAGGCAGTGACCCCTATGAAAATTTAGAACCTACATAAGATCAAATAGTGTTAAGGTGTTAAAATAGGTTTTTCCTTTTTCTTTTTGATGTTTGAATTTCAAGGTAGATACTAAAAATCATTACAATTAAGTGGAGTTTTATTTTTAGGCTTTCAGGGATATATATCAGGGTATCATTCTTATGAATTTAAAGACCTTTCAAACCATGATGGATATATTAAATTTTTTCTAATTAATAGATATTCCAAAGAAAATTATTATTTTTCTGTCCCTAAATTTTGATATCTAACTTTGAAATTTTCTCTTTTTTGGCCATTTTATTAGCAGTGTGAGTAAGTTCACCAATGGGCACAGAACCTCTCTGTTTCCATGTTGGCAGCTGTGGGGAATCTATATTATTGATGTGCATTCTGTGAAAAAAAATTAAGAGTATAGTAAGTGTATTCATTAAAGTGTAAACTTTTAAGCACAAGCATTTTTAAGAGCACCAAAAATCCTCCATTAACTGGGGCCTTAAGCTGCTGGGAGCCAGCTGAACACAGAGAACCTTGTCCGTGTAGACTTTCTACACAACTTTTGCACAACAATCAGGAAAACAGGGATGGATGTGCTATTAAAACAGACCAGGATATTGCTGGCTACAGGGAATATTTGTACAACTTTTCCATTTGTTTATATATGAAAAATCTCCACCGAAGAACAGCTAGCATCCAGTCAGCACAGCTGTTAGCGCTTTATTCACTAGCGACACACAAAAATGCAATTTGATACACATTAAAAAACACATCCCTTCTTCGTCAAGTGTTTAGATAATTCTTTATAAACAATATTAGAGAAGTGAATACTTTTCCTTCTTCCTGTATAAACCGTATTAAAAATTTCTTACTTTCATTGGTATGGCTTTGAATGAATTGTTTAGAGTACTTGAAAATGGTATATATAATTCCAACTGTACCTTCCGGTTCTAAAGTTATAACTTCTTAAGTAGAGTTTAGGCTTTTTAATTACCTTAGGCCAGGAGAGACAGTGTGCACCTTAGGTTTTTATATATGGAAGAATATCAACACTTGCTAACATCTTATCAAAGGATAGCTTCGCCAAAGGTGCTTGGAGTGTTAGGGTTGTTTGAATTACTGGAACCTAGAGACTTGTTCCTGAGTATTCTGTCATACTCCAAAGTATACTTAGGAAATTCAGGTTTTTAACCCTTTGCAGATGGGTGGGGAAATGACCTTGGTGTAGGAGATGATCTTTAAGCAGCAAAGACATGTTTTAAATTATACTTATTGTAGCATCAGGCTTTAAATTATTGAGAAAAATACTGTAATAAATGTGTCACATCCAAATTATTCTTTGCTCTATCATCTAAAATACTAGTTGTGAGGCTGGATGACATGTGGTAATAGGAGATACTCAGAGCACAGGTGGGTAAGTGGTGGGAAGGTAGACCCAGTATTTATCAGGAGTAGGTTGCCTTGACCACTTGGGTACTTAAAGGCTATGTTTGCATCTAGGGTCTCGTTGGAAATCGATGTCCAACCAAGAAAAGCAACCTTACTATGAGGAGCAGGCCCGGCTAAGCAAGATCCACTTAGAGAAGTACCCGAACTATAAATACAAACCTCGACCGAAACGCACCTGCATTGTCGATGGCAAGAAGCTCCGGATTGGGGAATACAAGCAACTGATGAGGTCTCGGAGACAGGAGATGAGGCAGTTCTTTACTGTGGGGTAAGTGTTCCTGCATTCAGCCACCTGAGCTTTCCTTTCCCGGTAAGAAACCACAGGATGGCTACTAGCAGTGTGTTTGGGAAGGAGATTAGAGAAAGGAGGAGGTTGTGACAGACGGGGCCTATCATGACTACACAGCCTTGCAACATGGCTCCTGCTGAAATCAAAATAAATGCAATGGATTGCTCTCAACTGAGCACCCCTTTTGTTGTCTCTCAAACTCATCTAAGATATTCAGTGCCCACACACAAAGTTTCTGGTAGTTTACTTAAGTAGACACAGAGAGAGAGAGAGAGAAAACTAACCTTAGAAATCCCCAGAAGCTTTCCCGCTTCTCTGGGTGGTGCTTCTGACTCTAATCACAATAGTCTGCTTTTGTTGTGGGATCTACCACAAGATAATTGGCCCTGACATTGGTTAGAGGACCTCATTTTTGGCATAAGGTCCAGAACTCCTGTTGCAGTAAATTATTCTGTGGTAGAAGCAGTAACAATGTGGATTTTTCTTGCTTAAATCAGAAACTAGACATGTTTTTGATATCTTCAAGTCTGATTTCATGTCATTTTGTTTAAAAATTAGGTAATAGATTTCTGGTATAAATTTCGACTTGGCTGACTGGCTGTCTGCATTCAAAAGAGGCCTCTTGTAACCACAGTCGTCAGAATTAAGTGGGGATGCAGATGCCTATATGTTCCAGCACACTCAGACCTAGAAGCCCAGGGGGGTGGCAAACCAGAGGACTGCTCTGGAGGCCCCGGCCTGAGGCAGCTGGAATCGGACTGGAGAGACACTTAGGAAGGGCTTGAGAGAGAGAAGTGGAAGAAGTAAAGAGGAACTTGTGTTCACTGTTGACTGGGAGGGGAACTGAGGAGCCGTGCTGTGTCAGGAAAATAAAAAAGCTTCACTTGAGGTGAAGAAAAGAGATACCTTAAAGGAGGTATCTCTTTTAACCTCATGGAACAAAAGGTTGGTTTCAGAAGCATGTGTTTAAAAACAGAAAACTGATTTGGAAAGGTATATAAAATACCAAAAAAAAGGGGCCAATGACAGCAGTCTGGGTCACTATACACTACACTAGAGTGTCCTAGGGAGTAGCATGGGCTTCAGCATTTGCTTCAGACACTGACTGTGCCACCTGCTTGGACAAGTTATTTAACTTTTCTAAGCTTCTGTTTTTTCATGTGTGAAGTGAAACAAGTAATAGTACCTATCTCAATAAGGCAATGCTTTTAAAAATGCTTTGTATAATCTTAGTATAATATCAATAACAGTGAATTCTTATAATTATTATCCTTATTAAACATGGATTTACTATCACAGTAAAACTATATTTTATATCACACTAGACAATCAATGACTATGCCTTCAGAATATGCCTGAGTCCTATGTGAGGATGGCACAGTCTATGTATGGTAGAAGCTTTATGAGGTAAAGTGAGGCTTAAATCTCTTTGCTATTTGAGGATCCCTGTATATTAGCAGATGAAGATGTGCCAAAATAAGATATCAAATCCTTCTGTGTTATAAATGTTTACATTTTTTAAAAAGCAATGTTTTTAACTCCCAAAGTACAATACAGTGTAATTGGGCAATTCACATGCTAATTAGAGTATTTATGAAATATACCAAGTCACAGTACACTTTAGGAAGTATAGTTGTAGGTAACAAAATGTAAATTTAAGGCTGTATAATGTCTTCTTTTAATTCTGTTAGTGTATCCCTGAAAACGTGTATAATCTCTTTTGAACAGAGAATCGAAAGTTTAAACCTGAGACGTTTTCTCACTCCAGCCTTTCCCTCCTGTCATGTCCCCTGTGTTGCATAGTGGGTCCCTTTTGCCATAGTCTGGGAGATTAGCAAAAGCACCATTTTAGTTCCCTGATACTTACTGGAATATATGAGATGCAGTAATTCTATTTAATCCCCTTTATGAAAGGCAACGTTGACAATAGCTCTGGATCAAAATACCTCAACACATAACAATGTATGTAAAATGAAACTCTAATAAAACAGCTCAATATCATCTACCACTTATTGAATGCCTACTGTATATGAGGTATTTTAGGTATACAAACTACATAAACCTCTAAAATAAGGAAATCGAGGCTTTACGAGGTCTGATGGCTACTGAGGGCTTCCAGGTGGTGCTCGTGAAAGAACCTACCTGCCAATGCAGGCAGATGTAAGAGATGCGGGTTTGATCCTTGGGTTTGGAAGATCCCCTGGAGTGGAAAATGGTACCCCACTCCAGTATCCTTGCCTGGGAAATCCCATGGACAGAGGAGCCTGGCAGTCTGAAGTCCATAAGGTCACACAGATTCAGACATGACAAGCAATTTAGCATGCACTCATGGCTACTGAAAGGTGAGATGAAGTAAAGGTTTAAATCAGGTCTCTGTCTCTGTCATGCCAAATGACTGGGAAACTGTCCTTACTACATTGCTTCAAAATAGGCCTCACAGTGCTATTCAGCACAGTCGTGAGTATGACGCTGCTATTTGAGGAAGAGCTCCTAGAACCTACAGAAAATAAGGTCTTTTATTCTGGTACACAGTGGCATAAAAGAACTTTGAAATTTAGAGACTAAGGATCCTGATAGTGTAGGAGGTCCTTTGTGGAAGGCTCATTTTAAACTGAGAAATAGGGCTATGGATGTGCAAGCAATGGCCAGAATACTTTATTCTTTAATCTTCAATGATGAGTATTTTCCTCTGCCCAATTTTAATAATATTTGCTACATAAAGCCAGACGTTATTTCCACTTAAGGATTAGTGTTCTCTTTTAAGTAGCATTCTCTTTTTAAGTAGTGGTATTAAGTAGTATTTTAAGTAGTAATATTCTCTTTTTTGATAGATTATTAACTCCCTAGGGTTCATCTTTGGAAATTGATCTTCATTAAATGCGGGGTTATTACAAGAGGGAAAGACAAACAAGAAATTCAAAGATTTCTATTGACATCTTGAGGGAATGGGGATGCAATCAATTTTTATAGCTGATTTTGAAAAGATGTGCATAACTTTCAAGGCAATAAAGTTACATATATGGCTCAACATTGCCATCCTTTTTACTGATGATAAAACTGGAAGTTAGATAAAACTGGAAGTTAGATTTTTTTTTACTTAGCTATTATGGAATGAATTTATCAATATATGAAATGGAGTAATGTTGTCTCTAACCTTGGATTTAACCCTTTCAATTGATAGGTTAAGTATCAGAATTTTGTAATAATCCTGACAGGAGTACTATTAATGTTTAGGTGATAATTAGGGTTCATAGAGCTATGACATTGTCTTTTCCCAAAGAACTATGGCCAAATGAAATTTATTTCCAATTTGTTGAAGTTTTATTCAGTAATTTACCTGTGAGCTAATAGAGAATTATGCAGATACTATGAAATATTAAAATTGGAGCTACTTTTTGAATAACAATAAAAATAAATTATTGAATAATTATGCTGAGCTAAATATACCAGTTATTGCAAACACAAAAACTTATAAGATAGGCAGTATCATCCTCACTACGATGTTGAAAAACACAATATTCAGAGATGTTAAATAATTTGTCCAAGGTCACACAGCTAGTAAATTGCAGAGCTAAGATTTAGACCAGGCTTATGTAAAACATCTTTCCTTTTCACCATTGCACATAAACTTTCAATTAAAGCCTACAAATTGTTTAGAGACTATATAGTGTAAGTGGTTAAGAACATCAATTCTGGAGCCAGACTGTCCTGGCTGCAATACTAGATCTACTTCTTCCTGGCTCTAGGAATTAGTGCATTTGTTGTTGTTTAGTCACTAAGTCATGCCTGACTCTTTTGTGATCCTGTGGACTGCAGCCCACCAGGCTCCTCTGTTCATGGGATTTCCCAGGCAAGAATACTGGAATAGGTTGCCATTTCTTTCTCCAGAGGATCTTCCTAACCCAGGAATTGGACCTGTGTCTCTTGCTTGGCAGGCGGATTCTTTATCATTGAGCCACCTGGGAAACCCATAGTGTCTTTCATTCTTTTGAACTCGCCACTTGCTCTTGGGAAACTTATTTAAACTCTGTGTACCTCAGTTTCCTCATATATAGAATGGGGATGACAATAATGCCTACAAAATCAGACCCTTCTGAAGACTGAATAACTTAATATATCTAAAGTGCTTGGACAATGTCTAGCATGTAGTAAGTCCCAAATTAGAGCAAATATTCTTATTCTAGAGAAATGATGCTATGTGTCAGGTATATATTTCATATCGTAAAGAATTATGTTCTATTGGATTGTGGCATAAGTGATTTGAACATTTGCCATTTTGATCTTAATCTTAAAGAGGTTGAATCAAGCCTATAAGATACTTACAAATTAAATTGAGTAGAATAGACTAGACATACTATTTTTAGTCTTGTCCTCCTATAGAGAAAGCTGGATTAGAATCTCTAATAGATAATATAAAAAGATGTACAATTTATAGGTTTATCTCCTAAGGAACAGACTTCATTGCCTTCATTTATAGATACTGTAAAAGTCTGAAGGATCAGCAAACAGGGGCTTTGACAACATAAATAAATAGTTCCATTGCAATTGGCAAAGCTAGATTATATACTCCAGGAATGTTCTTGTGATTTGGAAACCACATGCTGGACTTTATCAGGGTCAACTCAAACTCTACTTGGGTTAGGAGGGAAGGTTCTTAGCCGTCTCTACTCATATCAGCTACATATGTATAATTTTACAAACATCTACAACTTTTGTTTTGATGTGCACATTCATTACTTGTAAAGCCCAATACTTGCCAGCTATTCCTGTTTGTGAAATCTGCAGTGTTTGAATTTTGACTTTGCAATTGATCTGTAAAGGAAGGAAAAATGCTTTTCAGGAAAGTAATTTCCGATAGACAAAGCTTGAGCACATTGGCTGGATTTTCCATTTTGTTAATTGATTAGTCAGTCAATTGGTAAGGGACTGGGCCTATCTGAAACCAGCTGTGTGCCTAACACTGTACTAAGTTAATATAG